GGAGGACCAGCCCTGAGCTAACATCCAATGGCAATCCTCCTCTTTTTTGCTGAGGAAGACTGGCCCTGGGCTAACATCCGTGCCCATCCTCCTCCACTTTATTTGGGACGCTGCCATGGCATGGCTTAACAAGTGGTACCTGGGTGCATGCATGGGATCTGAACTGGCAAACCCTGGGCCACAGCAGAGCGCGCGCACTTAACCACTTGTGCCACCGGGCCGGCCCAAGTGTCTTCCTCCAGATGCCATTATTACACTCCTTGGTGACATCACCCAAAGCCCAAACAAGGCTCTTGATGCAGTCACAGATGTTGTAATCCTTCCAGAATTGCACCAGTGTCTTCTCAGTGTCTTCCTCAGGTGCAGCAATGGCCTGACAAATGTCCTCCTCAGGTAGTAGGCCTTAAAAGCTGCTGTAACTCCTTGATCCATTGGTCGGATCACAGAGGTGATGCTGGACAGAGAAACACTGCTTTGATATTGAGATGAAGATCACCAATAAAAGGTGCATGTCCAGGAACATTATCAACAATAAGCAAAACCTTAGAAAGTATGTTATTCTGCAAAACAGTACTTCTCCATTTTGCTGGCACAGCAATTCGGGAGGGCATCTTGGAAGAGGAGCTGGGTCCTCCATGACCTCTTATTTCTCCTGTAGTACACTGGTAGTGTGTGTTTATTGATATGCTTGAAGGCCTTGGGGCTCTCACTGTGCCAGATCACAAAGGGTTTCAATTTGTAGCCTGCAACATTTCCCCCACAGTAAGACTATTATCCTATCCTTAAAAGCCTTGAAACCTGCCACTGACTTGGCCTCCTTATGGACAAAAGACCTTTCGGGCATCTGTTTCCAGAGTAGGGAGTTTCATCCACATTGAATATTTGCTCTGGCAAGTAATATTCCTCCACAATCAGCTTATCTAGAGTTTCCAAAAATTCTTCAGCTGCCTTCACATCAGCACTCACAGACCCACCACTCACTTTCACATTATGTAATGAATAACGATTCTTGAATTGTTTAAACCACCCAGAGCTAGCAGTAAATTCAACATCATAGTCAGGTCTAGCTTTTTCTTTCAACATTGCAAACAAACTTTTCACTTTGGCATGATCGTCATGGTGCTAAGAGGGATACACTTCTGTGTCTGGTCTTCAATCCAGGTCATTAGAAGTTTCTCCATGTCTGATTTAGGCCCTTCTTGAATTTCTGTGGGTCTCATTGCCTTCAATGAAGCAGACCCTTTAACAGCTTCCATCACGTTGTTCCTTTTCTTCAACATCGTAGCTGTGGTGGAATGGGTCATGCCTGACTGGCGAGCAATAACCATCACTGATTTTCCGTCTTCGTGGTACTTAATCACTTTTCATTTCATTTCCAGGTCAATCACTTGATGTGGCCACTTACTGGCAACATTAGTGGTGGATTTTGTACGCTTAGGGGCCATGATGAACAAACAACACGAGACTAAATCAACCACAAGAGAAAATGATGCAATCGGGAGATGCAGTAAACATGAGATGCATGAGGCTGCTGCCAGCATGACACAGCATACTGTTTCACAGTGAACTTCTTTTTTTATAAGTGGAAAGAGTACACTCTAAAATAATGATAAAAAGTATAGTATAGTAAACACATAAACGGCTAACAGTTGTTTATTATCATTATCAAGAAATATGTACTGTACACAATTATATGTGCTATACTTTTATATGACTGGCAGTGCAGTGGTTTGTTTACACCAGCATCACCACAAACATGTGAGCAATGCATTGTGCTACGACTTCACAACAGCTATGATGTCTCTAGGCGATAGGAATTTTTCAGCTCCGTCATAATCTTACGGGACCATCATTGACCGAAACATTGTTATGCGGTGCATGACTGTATGTATTTGTCAACTTATCAAATTGTAGACTTAAAAATGGGTGAATTTCCATAGAAACACAAAGTAGAATGGTGGCTGCCAGGGGTTGGGGAGAAAGGAGATTGGGAGTTGTGGTTTAATGGGTAGAGTTTCAGTTCTGCAAGATGCAAAAATCCTGGAGATTGGTTGCAAAATAACGTGAATATACTTAACACTACTGAACTGTACACTTAGAAATAGCTAAGATAGTAAATTTTGT